TTATTATAATATTTATAACGACAATAATATAACCAAAATAAGTACTTACCAATGGCCAGGGCCAGTTTAAGCATTACCGGCGCCCTTGGCGACATTTCTACGGCGCCCCTAAACTGCTAGAACTCATAAGCAGAAATGAAGGAAAAGGGAACCAGGCGCCAGTTTTTTTTTTTTTGTGACTGAATGGCCACTGTTTGCCTTGAGGAGGCATTTACAGATTCACCGGGCTTGAGGTGGCCGAGCGCAGATGGCGCTTAGCCTAAACCTCGTTTAAGGCGCCCGTTTATGGCGCCTGTGTCTTTTATATCTGGCGCCCTGGCCGGTCGTCTTACCTCGCCCTACCTTAACGCCGCGATTGCCTATGGTCATGTCGCTTTATTCAAATATTGCTATTTTTTTTATTATTTGTCTATTTCTGTTTATAGTCTGTGGTGATTTTTAAGAAGTCGATTTAAATTGTTTATTTTAATAACGTAACTATGACTCGGATATTCCGATCTATGTTATTTCGTCTTCTTTTATTTTAGAATAAATATTTATATTATTCTTTTGTTTACGTACAATAGAAATAGAACAACAGTAATTATCTAACGGTGAAATAATAAACAAAATAATTTCCTAACATGCTCGCCTTTAGGAAACGTGCATACCTTTCAATCGAAAGTCTGTATTTGTAAACAATTGTTTTGCACATTATTACGCTAAAACTTGTATAAGATTAGCATATTATTATTTTTTTAAAACACACAATAAAATTGGAGTATCTGTTTGTAATATTAAAAGAATAAGCCAGATTTCGGGAAGACGTTGCTGATAACGAAAATTAATTTACAAAATGTTTGTCTCTCTGTCTTTCGGCAAGCCGCGTTTGTTCTGGGTAATCTAGAAAACGGATGGGACATTAAAGGGTTAGCTGACATGGATAGGCATGCTATAGGGTACTTATTTTTTATATTCCGCACTGTCAAAATGGCGTAACGGATGGTCCAGCGCTAACGAAGTTTGCGGGCGATAGCTCGTTTTAGATTGAAGATTGATGAATAAATTGAGTATTATGGCCGCCATGTTTGGATTTTGACGTTTCTATGTTTACAATATTGAAGCGTTCATTTGAAATGTGATAAATATAATGTAATTTCATATACTTCACTCTTACATAATCAACTTTTTTATTTTAATTTCCATTCAATTTTTAAATTTGAAATTTCATTAAAACTCATCATCATCATCATCATCTCCTTATCCTACTCCCGTAGGGTCGGCGCAACAGGTTTTTGTCCTTCACATAACTCTATCATACGTCATCTCAGTCATCACTCTCTTTTTGATCATGTCACCTTTTACACAATCTATCCATCTCTTTCTAGGTCTACCTCTACCGATGTACCCTAAATTTCATTAAAACTAATAATGTTTTTATCGGTGCCTTTTATTGAAAAGTCCAAAATTTAATTAAAAAACTTTCACTGAAAATAACTAAACTGTGCCATTAATGTAATTAACAATAACATTTCTCGTATGCAAAACAGTTTTTAAAAGGAAACGTTTTGTTACGCACTGGCGCGTATGCGCACGCCGAATTCGGAGCGAACAAAATGGCGGGAGAAAGTGTCTAGGCGGTTAGAATAATAAATATAGTTAATAAAAAATCATTCGTATATGTAAATAACCTTAAAAGCGGTTAGTGTGTTTTGTATGTGAAACTAATATGTATGTAACGTGTTGTTCATGTGACACAATTCTGTAACATGTTACATGTGAGTAAATAACTTGGAATTCAATGGAACATTACAAACCTACATTTTAGACAAAGGAGGTGACCCAGCGAACTTACTCGTAAAGTTTTAAAGGAGGATAAAAGGTTTATAAGGTAGGTTGCATTTAGAAAAGTGAGGTTATGTATCATAAAATTTCATACTACATTACTCCTTGTCGTTCTGACAATTACGATAGATTTATATTAAACGAGCTGTTGCCCGCGACTTCGTCCGCGTGGTATTAGAAAACATACGAACTATATAAATAACAAAAAGCTACGTATCCCTCGGGAACCGGAGATTTCTCGGAGATGAACCTTATCCCATGTGTACTCCAGACTTTGTTTTACATCTGTGCCAAATTTCAATAAGATATGTTGAACCGTTGCAGAATGATCGAGTAAACATTAAAAAACTAAATCAATGAATCCCACGGGAACGGTAACTTATCCCGGGATAAAAAGTAGCCTATGTGTTCTTCCAGACTATGCTCTAAACCTGTGCCAAATTTCTTGGAGATCCGTTCAGCCGTTTAGGCTACAAACGCTAACAAACATCCATCCATCCATCCATCTATCCATCCATCCATCTAAACTATCGCATTTCCATCCATGTAAACTATCGCATTTATAATATTAGTAAAGTAAGATAATATTAGTAAGATAGATTATTTAATACTAGCTTTCGCCCGCGACTTCGTCCTCGTGGAATTAAAAAAAAGAAAAACAAGTAGCCTATGTGTTATTACAGACTATCCTCTGCATCTATGCCAAATTTCATCCAGATCCGTTCAGCAGTTTAGTCTACAAACTCTAACAAACATCCATCCATCCATCCATCTAAACTTTCGCATTTATAATATTAGTATGATTAGTATGATAGTCGATAATCTGTCTGATCCGCATTCTCACTAATGTAATTATTATAATCTCTTGAATTTGCTTTAGAAATTCTACGAACTATGTCTTTCTGTCGAACTCAGATCGTTAAACTCAAATTCAGTTATAATACGAAAAATCTACACTAACTGCCTCCCTTAGTTGCTGTTATTAATTACAGATTTCTGTCCTCTATCGCTGTCGTTAATTAGATAGCCACAGTATGTGTTTATTAATTTCTCTTATGTACACTTAGAACTTGTTTATTGACGTGTTTTTGCTTATGCCAGTATTATCTAACATTGGTTGAAGAAAAACATTCTACAAGCCAGTTTATATTTTAAAATACAAGCATTTCTGGTTTGTGATATAAGGAGCAAATGGTCAAAGTTTTCAATAAAGATAATTATATCTTGAATTACGAGTAAAGTAAAGTTTACTAGCGACCCGACCCGGCTTCGTACGGGTCCAATTACTCCGAAAATTTAGTTAACATTAGAAACCTCTAAAATTATCAATGTTTCTCTACGATACTAGTTTTACATATAAACCTTTATCTTGAATTGCCATTCTTATAGTGGTATCTATTAACTGCGTCAGAATCCGTTGCTTAGTTTATAAATCACCGCATACAGAGACAGACAACGGGAAGCGATTTTGTTTTATACTATGTATGATAGTGTTACAGAATCGGTACTACACTGGTAGCGGCGCAACACTACATAATTGGCATACGTCCCATCCCTATGACATCTGTCAATGTCAGACGTACTGAGGAACAAGCGCGCCATTCTAGTTCAGTTATTTAAATATTTTAAAGCAGTGATGATAAAAATTAAACCATAACAGTAGTTATTTTTGAGGTATCGCTATATATTGGAAAGTAAAAAACATTTTTTATATGGTTTTTGGTCGCATTTTCTTAAAAAAATTCACCGAATTTTAAATCGCAACTGGAACTCGAATTTCAAATTATTTTGTCGTTGGTTATCAGCTTTTATTTATAAAACTAATGAGTTTTTTCACGAACCATTACATCGTAAGTATGCTTTCGTGTTTAATAAGCATGTTTCTCGATTGTTTATTACGGAAAAGTAATAAATAGTAAACCGGTGGCATGGGCGTTGCTACTTGTCGCACAACGATCATGTAATCTTACTTCATACTAATATAAATGCGAAAGTTTAGATGGATGTTTGTTAGAGTTTGTAGCCTAAACTGCCGAACGGATCTCGATGAAATTTGGCATAGATGTAGAGGATAGTATGGAAGAAAACATAGGCTACTTTTCTTTTCTTTTTTAATTACAAGCGGACTAATCACGTTCGAAAGCTAGTATATTATAATTTGTAGATATCGTGTTGTTTTTCAAGTCCACGAGATAATAAGATCCCCTTTCTACTAAGCTGATAGTCACTGAAGACGACAAATCCTCATTCTCTGTCAATTCTATAAGAAAGAATACTTATTAGGTATTTAATCTAAATAAGTATATGACAAAGAGCGTCGGTGGCTCAGGCACTTGACTTGTAATCTACAGGTCTTGGGTTCGAATCGCGCTGTACCAATGTGATTTTCGATTTTCCGAATTTTCATATGTACATAATTTACCCGACGTTCTTACGGTGAAGGAAAACATCGTGATGCAACCTGCACATATCGGCAAAGAAATTCAAAGATATGTGTGAAGTCAACAAACCCGCACTGGGCCAGCGTGGTTGACTATGGCCTAGTCACCGTAATTTAGGTTAGGCTCCGAGCCCCTCGGTGGGGACGTGTATTGAGCTGGTGATGAAGTATATGACAAAGTATCGTATATTATGTTATAAATTAATGCAAGTTTGTGATTTGTAGAGGTTTTATCTTAACGACTGGATCGTGACTGCGACATTGACGAAGATGTAATACAATACCTTTGTTATAAACATAATATGCATATAATTATTGATTACATATAAATGTAACGTAAGATATTAATACAATCAAGTCATAATGATTTTCAAGATGAAAAAAAAGATATATTTTTATGTCACGTACAGTGAAGTCAATTTATTTAAATTGTACATAATTGCAAAATTAACAATGTAATTTTCATATCTTCTGTTATTAGTATTTATCTACTGAGATTTTTTCAATATATTAGAACCCTTATTCTTGATATCTCTGTGTGTCTCTTTAACTTAGGAAAAAAAAATAGTAATAAAACAATTGTAATAAATAACTTAACTTTATCAATGTTATTGTTATTGATACGAAAAATACTTACTTTCTTACTAAAATTATAAATGCGAAAGTTTAGATTTCTCCCAAAGGCACATATATAAAATATAGTCTGGAAGCTTTTAAAGGTAGTAATATAACTTACGTTTAAATCGTATCCATTGGTAACCCAGGATCTTTTCCGCAGGTTGTTATATTTCTTCCTCCATTTCAATAAAAGTCCATCGTTACTTTTACGCTTCTTCGAATGTCTATTTACTACGTAACGTTCCATTTCTCTTAATAAAACTAAACACAACACAAACGAATTCGCACAACACTACCGTTCTTAAACCCGAGTACGTACTAACTAAAAACCACACATTAACGCCGGTATTAGAATAATTGTTATATAAAAATAACGAGAACGGAATTAATTACACGTATCCAAACATAAACAAAACCATAGACTATACTTAGAAAGTTCCACAATTGTCTTTGATATCAAGATTGAAAAAAAAATCGTTTACGCGCGCTTTTCTGACAGGAGCGTAGAGTCGTCCTGTTGTTAAACGATTTGCTTCAATAATATCGTTCACTGTCTACTCGTATTGTAAGGCTGCCAAATTGTGCGTGTATTGTGGGACAGTCCCACTTTCGCACTTGTAGTTTTTCTTGTATACTGTTATTGTATGATTATCTCTGACAAATCTCATAAAGGTAACACGTAGTTATTAAATTAAAATAGTCATGAATAATATGTTTCCCTTTTGTATACCGATGTATGAAAGCGTTAAAGAATGTTATTTATAAAATTATTAAGATTTCATACAAAAGCAGTGGATCGTCTTAGTTTTACTTAGTTTTTTTCGTCTTAGTATTGAGAAAAATGTGTAATAACGATTTAAATATTTTGACTAGTGGATTGCATTAGTTGAAATTATGAATTTAAAATTCAGTGAAAAAGATTACACTTTCTTTAGTCTAGTTAGCTGTAAAAGAAAACCATAACCATAAGGTAAGCCAAGCGTTACATTTAAATTCATACTGTATAAATTTCTAGCTGTTCCCGTGTGACTTCATAATTATTCAAATTATTAATCGCAAATGTCAAAATGACATGACGATGACAAATCATGGCAACCTTGCTTCCTTGACGTTGGCAGCAACTTATGGTATCTTTCCCACATTAGGATTTTTATCCAAAATATTTACCCCCTAAGTTTAATGGCATGAAAATATATAGCCTAAAGTGTGACGTAAGTGTAGGGCTTTTTATTAGAAAGTTATTCAAAAATATGCTGTTATTGCTGACATCTTAGGCAACAAAGAAGTATGTGTTTACGCTTTATTATAATAGTATATATATATAGATTTGCCCATTAAAAACGTGTAGAAAATCGCCACCATGTTCAATTAATGTTAATTTTATCATAACCTCGGAAGATTAAAGATAACCATTAGATCTAAAATTATTATACTCTACCTAATTAACAACGCCCCCTGTGGTGAGAATTTCATGCGCTAACTTCTTATATAATCTTACATAAGTACTAAGTAACACATATTTTAACCTAAAACGTAACCGTATTTGACAAAATTATCAGTTCTTAGATATACATAAGTTCGCCAGGTTGAATTATGAACAAAAAATGTAGTTCTTTGGTTACGCTTGAATATTTAGAGTTTAAAGTAACAGAAGGCTACTTTATTGAAATAATTTCCCAAAACATTGCTTTATAACAAACTACGCCTGCGTGAAATTAAAAAAAATAATAAAAAAATATAGCCTATGTTACTGATAACGTAGCTTTCTAATAGTGAAAGAATTTTTGAAATTGTGCCAGTAGTTTTTGAGTTATTTCAATACATACAAAAATACAAATCTTTCCTCTTTATATTAATATAGAAATGGAATAGGCTTTATTTCGTTTTTATACATTTTGTCGGTTTCACCTGTCCCAGCATGTTTAGATTAAATCATATATTTTTATACATAGCTATTTGTAAAGCACAGATTCTAAAATCTTAAGTCAAACTACATTTTCGACCCATGCGACGAATTTTTTCAGGTAAGTAAACCCAGATCAAAACAGGACACATCCTGAAAAATCAGTAACAAAAGGTTACTCTAGTTATTGTGCCTTATTTGCGTTACGGTAAGTTGGAACCAATACATCGGCGTGATTTGAATTCCGCTCAAACTCGGCGGCCATTCGAGTTGCAACAATGGACACTTCGTATGCCACACACCGAACTGTCCTCTGTGTCATACGTTTATACCCTAAATACTTGATCAAGGACGTCTGTGGGAATTGGTATACACTGACACACTTAAAAGTAAACATGCTCGACTTAGCTAAAGTTATTCGTAACTTAACTATATTTAAGGATTTATTAATTCATTGCAGTTTGGTTTAAATGGTTTATTGGGCAATATTACAGATTTAATAATAATATAAGAATGCGCGTTTTAAGATTATTTTATCGCCGTTATTTTTCGGTTCTGACGTATGCGGAGTTGCCAGCGTCTCCCGCGCGAACAAGTGTTAAGATAGGGCGTGGTTAAGCGATCGCCCAGGGCGCTGGATAGAATACAGCGAATTAAAGTGTCACGTGACTTGAATAAAAAAAAAAAGGAGGCGGTAATAGTTAAGAATGGTAATAAAGAGGCGCCGTAGGACATAGTAGTTAACACCGGTAATATATTTATGGTTACTTTAAAAGACCCTTAGTGGAGATTACTCAATGTGTGTTTGTCATTTCCTAAAGCCAAAATAATCTACATTTTGTATGAAACATTCAATTCTAAGTTTTCTCCAAAGTGTGACGGTAAGTCTTTCTAGTGTTTTTAAGTTTTTCGCATTCTATCTACGTTGCTACAGGCTTATTTTAGAACTTTCACCAATCTAAATCTCTTTCTACACCATCTATACTAACATTATGAAGATATTTTTGTATCTATTGAAGTAACTCAAAAATTACTGGTCGATTTCAAAAAACCTTTCACCATTAAAAAGCTACGTTATCAATGAATAACAAAGGCTATATTTTTTACTAATATTTATTTTGCGCGGCCAAAGACACGAGCAACAGCTAGTAAATAATACAATGACATGAGATTGAACTTTTACCAAACGTTTTCCGTCACAGTTATCACGATAAAGCCATTGACGTCGGAGTGGTTCTCGAAAACGTTCAATAAAGCTCATAATATAGATTTATCAGCTACGGTGATAACAAGACAATAGTTAAATAAAAAATATGTGCGTTATAATAAACTTTAACATTTGAAAAAATACGTTAATTTCAGTTTAAACTGCGTCATTTATTGATCACATATAAAGCTTTTTCTAATCCTTATTTCGCTAAAGAACACTAAAGAACATTTTATGTTATAGGACTCTGATAGTAAGTCGTCATTTTAAACCTCACAACTTAGTGTATTCTTTTGTCTGTCACATCGTTAGTTTGCTTTCCAAAATATCAAGGCCGTCGTTAATATTCAATACGGTTGTCGAACAGACATTGTGTTTGCCATAAAAGTTATCATACACAGATAGTAGATATGTTTAACTATAATAAAAGCAATAGTAAGTGAGGGCGAATACCTTTGACTAAACTATCGCACAACAGTTGTACGATTGTCGATTGTTTCACCCATTCAATTGTTTAGTTGTACAACTAAAATCAAATATTATGCGAATCTCCATACAAGCTTATAGGAATCAAATTGCGACTAAACAGTTGTGTGAGAGTTTAGTCAAAGGTGAGCGCATGCTTTAAATGTACGACATAGTAATGTTTAGTAATTAGCGTGGTTTACTAGTTTATGTAAATTGTGTGAAAAAATCCTACTAATAAAGTAACGACGAAAGATTTGATTGTTTGATTTTTTCATTGAATAGCCTCAGAAACTACTGAACTTATTGAAAAAAATTATATTATGTAGAATGTAGTAACAAAGGCACATCAACGGAAAGGGTATGGATATGACAGAAAAGATACATTACTGTTCTTTACCACCAAATAATTTGGGTTTTAAATTTTTAGGTTATGTACCTTTTTCCAAACATGCGTCAAAGCTCTGTAGTGTTCAAAATGATACGATTTTACAAGCTACGAATACAATACAACAATATATTTCGAATTTAATTTGGATACCGATATATCAATCACTAACGCGGTGACACACGCACCAAACAATGGAACTTCTAAAGACGGACACAGGACGAATAAATAAACCAACAAATGCAAAATAATATTTTTACTTCATTTAACTTTGTCTTTTGCAGCTAAAATACATTCTCTATCTTGTGCTTTAGATTTTTACCAACAAAATCATGTGACTTTGTAAACTGTAATGCATCTTTATTGTACTTTATGTCATAAATACCTTTTAAACATTCCTGAACGTGTAATTATCTTACGGCATGAAATTATCACATACCGCTGCATTACGTATATTGATTTTATCAATTGCAAAAATGCTTAAAATGTAAAAATATTGCACTCATGAATAGATAACGTAATTTCTTCCCATCTAACCAGTTTTAGCAAGTTCTAAGTAGAACAATTGCACTCGATAGTAAAGATAGCATCGTTCCGTAACTGAAAGTGTATTTTCTAGCGTTATATTCTATCTATCTTTATTCTTTTCTATGAGATAATTACTTAATTGATGCTTGACCATTAATGGTATAACTCTGCAATGAATTATTTAAATCAATTTCTCTTTCAAGCCTGATTCTGCTCGATTTACTTCAATATTCAGAATTGCTTATAAAAATTTCACAGGCGACCACCAAATAACTAACTTGTAATTTAATATACGAATACATACAAGAATTGTTTTTGTTATTCTTAACATCCTAAAATTAAAAATTAGTGTAAAAAATTAGAAAATCAATTGTAATATACTTTTTTACTTCTTTTAAATTGATTGCAGTACTAAAATGACAGACCAGCTGTCATTTTTGACCGACTTCCCAAAAGAAGGAGGTACTCAATTCGTCTGTATGTTTTTTTTTTTTTTTTTTTTTTTTTTTTTTTTTTTTT